TCCCAGAGCACATAGAAAGCAACAGAATAATGATAATCGTAATAATGGCAATAAGAGGCGGCACTAAAGAAGATAATAAGGATAAGTAATAATACTACAGCCACACTACGTGGGTTAATATGCATAGACGTTAGACAGAACGGCGAGAATTAGGTGGAACTATACAAAAGGCAATAGGGAAAAGGATGCTTGATAAAAATGTTGAAGCGAAAGAGGGCAAGGATGAGTTTTTAAGATCCATATAAATCAATGACTGCTATAAAAATCAGAGCTGTATAGTTATTGATTTAGAGAAAATGTTTGATAAAAGAAATTACTTGAAGGTTTTTCTCAGGCATAAGGGGTTGAAGACTGGGTCTTGAACATGACGAGAAAGTTATACAACGGAAGTAAAGCATGTTTCAACAAAAAATGGTTTAACTAAGTGAATGGTTTAACTATATACTCAGCTCAATTCAATTCACCCAGATTTGCAGCATGGCATTCTTATTAGCCTACCTGGCTGGGGAATTCTGGGAGTTTGAAGTTCGCATGTCTAGAAATAAGGAGAAATGACATTGAGAACAATCAATCCTTGGAACAGAAGTCGCCTTCAGAAGTTGTGGGAGCTTCATCCCTGGAAGCTTTCAAGAAGAGACTGGACTACCCTCTGTCAGAAATGGTGTAGGGTCTCCTGCTTGTGTGGAGGGGGTTGGACTAGATGACCTACAAGGTCCCTTCCAGCTCTGTCAATCTAATCTAACCTTAAAGTTGCAAAGATTGAGATACACTGAGGTAATATATAGATGTTACAGGATGATTTGCAGGGCTAGAAAGCTATGGAGAGTTTGTAAACTAGTTTTACTTTATGTTATTTTTCTTTAATTTTTACTCCTATAATTTCTTTAGTTTGCTATTTTTTACTCCTTTTCTGCACTCTGCATGACGCTGTGTATCCATGTATGACTTAAAATCAGTCAGACACTGTAGGAGGAGAGCTATGTCAATAGCAAAAAAATCGGGAGGAGTCTGGTAGCACCATGGCTACCAGATTCCTCCCGATTATTTTATTTTTTAAATCTACAAAAAAATGGTAATGGAAGAGGCAGAATTTCTGTTGACTGATCGCTCTTTGGGACTGTTTTATCTTACATTCAGAACTACCATTAGCTACTCAGACAAATACATCTGCCAGACTGTAAAACCATTTCTGATTTATTATCATATTTATAAAACCATGATCTAAAATGTTTGGTAATCATGTAATTGGGAAAGAGCCATTATAGATCCCGGGGAAATTGGAAAGCCATCTAGAATAAAACACACAGAGCTTTTCCTTTACAGAAAAGCTCTCCCCAGAAACCCAAAGAGTCTTTGCAAATCAGCAAAGATTGAGAAAGCACCTCAGGAAAATTGCAATCTGGTTAAAGGTAAAAAGCTGCATTTTTTTCTAAAAAAAAAAATCTCAAACAAAGCCAAGCTTGCTTTATAAAAGGGGAACGTTTTGTTCCATGGGGAAGTTTACCAATGTTCGTTGCAACGAACATGGTGGCATTTTTAGACGCAAGTATATTTCAGTAAGTGGAACAGGGCAGGACATTTTCCAAGCAAAGAGGCTTCCTCCAACCACCAGCAGTGGGAAAACAGCTCTGAGGTTTTAATCCCTCCACCCCCAGATTAGCTTTGTTCAGGTATTTTCCCACGTCATTATAGTTGTGCTTTTAAAGTTGTAGCAACGTTTCGGCA